GGATCGGGGCCGCGAGGGCGGCGGAGTAGGGGCCGCGAGTGCGGCGAAGTAGGGGCCGCGAGGGCAGCAGATCGGGGCCGCAAGGGCGGCGAATCGGGGCCGCGAAGGCGGCGGAGTAGGGGCCGCGAGGGCGGCGGATCGGGGCCGCGAGGGCGGCGGATCGGGGCCGCGAGGGCGGCGGAGCGGGGCCGCGAGGGCGGCGGATCGGGGCCGCGAGGGCGGCGCGAAGGGGGCGCTAGGGCGGCGCGAGAGAGGGGAGCGCGACTCGGGCAGGGGCTGAGTGCGCTCCGGGCAGGAAAAAAAAAACGGTGGGCCCTAGGAACAGTTCCCACGGGGGAACCTGCTCGATACCATGAGAAGAAACAAGGAATGAAAATGACTAAGGGAAAGTTGGGTACAAAATGCAAACCCTAGAAAACTGTACCCCATATGTGCTACCCCACTATGGCCTACAGTAGCTCTGTCATATAAATCTGACAAACAAAACTCCAAGCGACGCGTGGTTCCTCGATACCGGCGCAACACAACACATGACGCACTCGGCGTCGCTCCTCAACAACATTGGTGCTCCGTGAGACGTTACGAGCATCGTGTTCGGAAACAACGAATCGCTACCGGTGGTTGGAGTGGGGAGTACGCGCCTCATCGTCGATAGCGGACCGGTGGACGTCACGAACGTGCTTCACGTCCCGGGGGTGAAGGTGAACCTTCTATCCGTCCCGCAACTTGCGAAGAAGGGCGTTATCGCCACCATCGACGGTGCGACAATGAACCTCTTTTGGAAGGGGGAGCAATTCGCACAAGGTTTTCTCAACGGAGATATCTACCAACTCAAGACGTACCCGAGAGCGGCTTCATCCAACGTGGCGCAAGGCTCCAAGGCAACTCTCAAGGCGTGGCATAATCGGCTTGCGCACGCCAACTACGAGTCGGTCAAGGAGTTGGCCAACAAGGGTCTAGCGAAGGGAGTCGACGTGATCGCCGGTGACGACGAGAAGGGCGTGTGCGCGGCGTGTGTCGAAGGAAAAATGGCTCGGAAGCCATTTGGTAGCCGTACCTCACCCCTCGCTAAGGACCCACTAGCGCTTGTTCACATGGACGTGTGTGGACCGATGCGGTGCGCATTGAAGGGAGGAGCGCGGTTCCTCTTGGTGATGCTTGACGACGCGACGCGGATGTGTTGGACCCGACTCTTGAAGGCAAAGGGCGATGCGGCCAAGGCGATTCAAGAGTGGGCGCTCGATGTTTGCGACGACGACAAGAAGCGGATTAAGTGTATTCGCACCGATGGCGGCGGCGAATTCGTGAACAACGAGCTTGAAAAGTGGATGAAGAGCAAGGGCATTAGGCACGACGTCACGACACCCTACACACCCCAACAAAATGGAGCGGCGGAGCGGCTTAATCGCACGTTGGTGGAAGCCGTTCGTTCACTACTTCAACACTCCAAGCTTGGGCACGAGTGGTGGGGGGAGGCGAGTGCGCTAGCGGCATGGATTCGTAATCGTGTGCCGACCAAGGTGCTACCGGGAACGACTCCGTTTGAAGCATGGAGCGGAACGAAGCCGAACCTATCCCGCCTACGCACCTTTGGGTGCCTTTGCTACTACCATGTACCGGATCCTCTTCGCCACAAGTTGCAACCGAAAGCTCGTGCGGCGATCTTCTTGGGAGTGGCGCCAAACGAGCGTGCATGGCGAGTGTGGGACTTGGGTGAAAAGCGTGTCGTCACGTCTCGGGACGTGGTCTTTGACGAAGACAAGTTCCCGTCGAAGGAGAAACCCACTCAACTACTCACCTTCATCCTTCCGCCACGAGAGGAGGTTGAAGAGAGTGAGACTCCACCTCAAGTGGAGAAGGAAGCCGATGGAGGGGGAGAGAACAACGAGGAGAGCGTTGATGATGTCGTGGAGGTGTCACCAACCGAGGCGGCAACTACCTCCACACCTTCCTCCCTACCATTGGTCTTGACCCGCGAGCGTCGTGAGGTTCGTCCTCCCTCCAAGTACGCCGACTATGCTACGGTAGCCGTTGGGGAGACGGATAAGGAGGGCGCGGCATTTTGCTTCGCAACCAAGGGTGATGACGAACACGCGAAATCTCTCATGGAACCACCCCCTAAAGATTCATCCCGTGCATGCTATGAGCATGTTGGTTTGCACACCTAGTGGGTTGGGTGCAAGGGGGAGTGTTGGAGATTGCGTGTGTTGGAAGCAAGGTGGTGGTGGGGCGTTTGTATGCCCCCAACCCACCGAATGTGTGACTTGTGCTCACCTTCGAGTGAGTTGCAGGTTTGCGTGGGGTTGAGGATTGACTTCGGAAGACCCATTCGATTCGGTGCCACATGGCAGCACCAGGAACATTCGAGACCCAAGGAGAATTTGGATCGGTGAAATTCGAGAGTCGAATTTCACCCTTTCGATGTTACTCGAACATTCGCGAGTGTAGCGGTTCGAGGTTACTTGTGCGATTCGATCTTGTTTGCATGCTATAAATCTGTTTTCTTTGTATTGCATGCCATCATATTGAAACTCATAGTTCTTTGTACAAGGTACATTCGAACACAAATTCCAGAGAGCTCCTATCCTTCAATCTAAGAGCACTACCTAGCACATAAACGGCGATATCTCGCTCGATACTTAGGCGATCGAGGTGATCTACGGCTCGTTGGAAAGCTAGCAGAGTGCTCTACTGCTTAGAACACTTCCCAGTTCCTGCAAAGTAGAGGAGAGTCCTCTACATCATCCCCCAGAATGCGCTCATCCCCCCAGCCTCCGCACTGCCCGCGCACGTCCTCCGCTCGTGCGGATGCGCGCCACCTTTTCCGCGTGCAGCAGCCACCAGAAGCCGGCAACCAATACAAGGGCGGACCCAGCACGCAGGACCTGGAGGAATGTGCGCTGTCGATCGGGGAACCGGCCGGGACTGACGGCAAGGAGAGGTTATTTCAGGAACGGCCAGGATCCTGAAGTGATAAATCTTGAGCTGCTGTGGATGGCCCCAGGCGTGTTCTGTGTTCGACAAGTGCTAATTCGGTTTGCATTTGTTGTTCCTACTTCCATGGATTTGACAAAACAATATGTGCCATGATAACTTGAATCTAAATACAAAAACAAGATGTTTGTGATAAATTAGCAGAACAACGGGCTTCGCTCAAGTGGTGTTCGAATTTTGATAAGAAACAGATACATAAAACACAGAAAGGGAACAGAACAACGCAGGAAAAGTGAGTGGAGATTGAACGAAAAGGGGGGTGATAAAGGAGTGAAAGTACAGCCGCAATCTGACACTGGAAGACCACTTTGAATGACCTCAATGAGCCCCAACAAGACACCCCATCTAGATTTCTCGAAAAAAACAATGAACCACAGAAGAGTAAGGTGGTGGGTTGACATGTATTGCTTCTAAATTGTATCGATTGATTAAGCTGTAACACACAGACAGTCCACCTTGGCATCGTGAGGCAGCCCATCACATGGATGGAGTAATGGCGTCGCGTCACAGAATGGCAGACAAGTAATTATGTGGCTCTCGATGGAGTTCCAGGAGCATCCGAAATATCACTGTTAGCTTAGACAACACCACTGTCGGAGTGGAGATTTGCAATCCTCGATTTGTGGTTGGAAAGCTGCTGCCTCACACATATCGTACTCGTTATCCAGAGAGTTCAAAATTTTGACCACCAATTTGTCCATGATCGGTACAGCATTCAACCACCTGTGATTGTGTTCCATATTGTTTGGAAAATCTGAGGCTTTGCGTGGTTGATATGGTACGCATGTCTTGGAATTGGTTGCCAATGATGTCAGGCTCTTCCTGAAAGCGGAAGAAGCACAAGTTATGGATTGATTTAGAAACGGTTCCTTGTCGCTTCCGCTAACATTTATTTATCGTTTATAGTATGCCCCTGCCTATGTGGCGTGCAACCACATCATACTCCACTAAGTAATCTCGCACGAAACGACGGTCAGTTTCACTTTTAAATCCGTAAAGAACCACACGCCTGGTCTCCACCAGAAGAAATGCTTTAGCAAGCTAAACCGCTGGGGTTTTGAAATTTCCAACGCCCCAGGAGATGTCGCACATATGTACACAAGAATGGCCACTGTGGTTGGCTTCCAGCCTCCACACTGTGCATTTCGGTCCTAATGCCATGTTTCTATTGCGAAAGGGTCGAAAACCACTGTCATGGCCTCATGAGTGGGGCTGGGTCACAGACAGGTAGTGATAATGATGCCTTTCGGGGAGGATGATTTATGAATCACTTTGTGCATTGACAGCTACTTGTTGGCTGGCATTCTTCGCTACACTTTTCTACTGCCAACATATTTAACAAAAGGTGAAATTTACACAATAAGCAGCTCGGTTCAGTTGATACATGTATTAACTGGTACAGCCAGGCAATTGGAATGCAGCTCCTTTCCAGCCAGACCGGGAAAAGGGAAACCGCGAGGCAGCGGCAGCCACATCGAATGCCCACAAAAAGACGCGGTTCGGGAATTCTGCCTGTCTCTGCCAATGCCAACCAATTTCGAAAATTTCATCGCGCAGAAACCGCTTCCCCTCCTCCCCACAGAGTCCCTCCCCTTGCTCTTGTGCTGTCGTCATCTCCTCCCACAGATATGGCCCACCCTCCACCACCCTCCAGCATCCCTTCTGCTGCTATTTTCTGCGCTCCAATGCTCTTTTGTGCGTCAGAATCCGTTGTCCACTCACACTGCACCTAGCCACAGCAGCGTTTACACTGTGTTCCCTGCTGTCTGCCCTCGCCTCTTGTTCACTTCACATCCTCTGCTAGCTCCACTTATCGCGCAACCCACTGAAAAATCTGGACAATCCGAAGCTCCAACCCGCCTCTTCGTCCCATTCAGCTCTGTACGACGAAGCCGCGCATTCGTTGAAATCAACCAGCTTCATTTTTCCACACGACAGCTCACTGCTGAGACTAGCAACCACTGCACCGGTGGCGCGGTCGGGTTTTTACTCTCTTCGGCGTCACCATGGAGAGCGGCTCGCTCCACGCCATTATATCATCTCCCACTCTCGTGATGTCTCCGCCCATTCCCACCAATGCCTCGGCAGTCTCCCTCGCGGCGAATCACCACCATCGCTCCGCTTCCGGCGCTCCTAACGCGAAGCGCCAGCGCTGCTCGGATGGAAGCGTCGCTGCGGATGCGTCGCCGGAGAAGGCGGCGGATTTGTCGCGACCGAAGTCGTGCTTTATAATGCTCGAGGAGGACGGGGACGATGAGATAACTGCTGCGGATATTGCGTGGTGCGACGACGGAAGCTACGTGGAAATAGACACTGACGCGCTTTTCGCACTTGACGAAGAACCGTCGGCAAAGACTCGGAGCGCTCACGACAGCGAGCAGCTGTCGGATGAGCTGTCGCAGGAGCACCGCGGAGCGTCGAATGCGTCGCACGCGTCGCATGAGCGGCAGGGGAATGGCGGGAGCGGCAGCAGCTGCGAGAGCGGCGAGACGTTGAGCGAGAAGCAGAACAAGAGCGGCGAGGAGGGATCCGCGAAAAGGACGAGCAAGGAAGGGCGCAGCAAACGCAAAGTCAAGGTGAGGGAAACCGGAGCCATTAGTAAGGAAGTAAGGTCTAGAGCATCCAATCATTTGAGCAGGAACAAGAACACTTTTGATCAGACGTCCATTCTTTCGATCCTCAACTTGCCCCCATGTTTCACATCGGGCTGACGAGACCCCGTCACTCCAACATCGCATTCATACCGCCACGACCACAATGCCCCGCGCCTAACCTTCTCACCACCATTCCCCCTCCCTTCCGTGCTCTGTGTCTTCCCTCCCCTGGCCTCGCATCACCTGCGGCTCGGGAATGGCAGGTCGACTGGACTCCTTCCCTGCATCGCAAGTTCGTGCAGGCCGTCGAGGCGCTCGGCGTCGAGCGCGCGATCCCGTCGCGCATTCTCGAGCTCATGGGCGACGCGGCTCTCACGCGCCACAACATCGCCAGCCACCTCCAGAAGTACCGCTCGCACCGCCGCCACCTGCTCGCCAAGGAGGCGGAAGCCGCCACCCTGCACGAGCGCGCGCCCGCGCACGCGCCGCCCCCCGACCCCAGCTCCTGGACCCCGCTCCGCCGAGACGGCACCGCGTGGGTGCCCGCGAGCGTCGCGTCGAGCGTTCTCAGTCCGCGGAGTTCCTCCGCTTCCGCCGGCGCGTCCGCTTGCGCGGCATCCGCCATCGCCGCGGGTTCGTCCGCCAGCGGCGCGGCCAGCGGCGCGGGTTCTGCGGCGGCAGCCGCGACGTCGCCAGTCGGGATTCCAGCTGCGCAGACGGCGGTGGGGATTCCCCCTGCGCACGCGGGCGCAATAGCGGCGGGGCACGCGGGTATAATGTCCCCGCGAGGCAACGTAGCTGTGGGGTTCCCGCCGACGTTCCCCCAGTCCTCCGCCACGCACGCGGGAATGCCCGCGCACCTCGGTGGCGCGGGGGTTGGCGGAACGGCCCCCGGAATCCTCCCTGGCGGAGGGCGCGTTGTCATTGGGCGACCCGTCACTGGCGCATGCGGCCCGCGCTCCCTCCTCCGCGTGATGCCTTCCGCCAATGGCGCGCCCGCCTCCGCTGCCACCGCGGGAACCCCGGGGATGAGCGGAACGATGCTGGGCATGCCGCTGCACCTCTGGGGACGATCACCCGCGCGCGCGGAGCAAGCCAACGCGAGCGCGCGCGGATGGGGGAGCCTTCAAACCGGAGTACCCGCGCACGGCTCCGCGGGTGGCGCTGGGGGAAGCGGAACCGTCATGATGGGGGGAGCCACGTCGAGCGGCGCATGGTACGGGAATGGCGGCATGGGCGGCGGCGCTCCCGCGGGTTACCACCACCACCAAGGATACATGCACCCACAGGCACAGCAGGCGCAGCAGGGGTATCCCATGGGCATGCATGTGGACGCATGGGGTCGACCCATGGCTACCATGCCCCAGCACCAGCAGCAGTACCCGCAGCAGCTGCAGGCATCTCCGTACATGTCCTCGTCCTCCTCTTATGGCATGCCGTATCACATGAGCTACCCCATGCCTACACCTGATGCCACGGCTGCTGCTGCTGCTGCCTCTGCTTCTGCTGCTGCTGGTCCGTATTCCAGCGCCATGCTGGTTTACCCCGGAGCAGCAGCAGCAGGAGCAGTAGTGGGTCAGCACCAGCAGCACCAGCAGCAGCACAATCAGCAGCATCACGCTGCCGCGCCGTTCGCGTGCTCGTCGCCGTGCTCCTCGCTGGGGTCGCTGCCTGGGTTCCCTGCAGCCAGCAGCAGCACCGCCACCACCTCGCACTCCGCACGCACCTGCTCCGATGCCAGCCCTGCTGCTCCTGCCGCTGCTGCTGCTGCTGCTGCTCCGGCACCTGCAGCGGAAGCGCCAGCAGTGGCAGCATCAGCGGCGGCGGCCGCGGGCGCGGCGGAAGGTCTGGCAGAAGCGGCAGCGGGTGATTCGGCTGCTGCTGCTGCTACCGCTGCTGGTGGGGATGACAGCAGTGCTGGTGACAACAAGCCTGATGCTGATGCTTGCGCTGGTGCTGCCAGTGATGCGGCAACGAAAGGGGAAGCTTGTGCTGCTGGGATGCAGCAGCAGCAGGCGAAGGAGGAGGAGCAAGAGCAGCAGGAGCAAGTCCAGCAGGTGAAGCAGGAGCAGGGAGTTGTAGAAGAGGAAGAGGAGGATCCCGAGGCGTTATTCGCCGACTCTCTATTCCACGACCACGACGACCTCTCACTGCTGCTGCACATGCCGTCCTCGCCCGTGCACGACCCTAACAGCACCACCGACGCTCTAGACCTGCTCAACCACTTCCCGTCCTGTACTGCCGACGCTGGCGCTGCCATGGGCTTGGGCTCTCGTCCAGGCACAGGCATGGGCATGGTGGGCATGGGAATGAGCATGGGCATGGGTGTGGGTGCGGGTATGGGTATGGGTATGAGTATGGATGCAGCGCTGAGCCACCTTATGTGGACTGAAGGGTACATGCATGGGGGGAAGCGGCACGGAGAGTGATGATGATGAGGTTGCAGAGTGCAAGTCACTCAACCCTGTCTGCCTCAAGCCCATTGCGCCACCGCCGCCCACACGACCCACTCCTGTGCTGTAACTTAACCCGCCCTCGTCCTCCTCCCCGCTGCCACGACAAAGCCCTTACCTGCACTGCTGTATAGACCCCTGCTGCGGGTTGGCTCCTCTTTGTGTCTCTCTGCCTCTCTGCCTTGCTGGCTTGCATTCCATGCCTCATGCTTGAGGCGGGGTAGTACAGTACGGTACTCATGTCGCTTTGCTTGTAGACTAGTAGCTCTCTTGGCATTAGGCACAAGCCTTACAAATCAGTAGTAAATGCTTTTACAAAATGCTGTCACAAAATGGCAATCGAAGCATTTGGTTCCGAGAACTTCAGCACAAAATGCTTTACACAAGAATTCCACACACCGTTACATGCTCTATAGCTGACAGTAAAAGGGTGAGTTGTTGGCTGGTGTCAGGCTAGCTGACACAAGGCTAATGGGCAACATCGATCAGTCCACGACATCATCGTCAAAATCTACCAAAATCCCAACCTTTCAGAGCTTGGTGTCAAGATTCTAGACACCAGCCAAGAACGTACCCTAAGCTTATGACAGAACTGTCTAAGGCAATGATCGAGTAAGCGATTCGCAAGGGTGTCAAGTCGACCACTGGATCTCCACCAACCCGACCCACCCAGCAATAAATACCCCAATTTCCTGGCACTGCCACTACTACTGCAGTGTTATACCGAAACTGTCCCAAGTTGCTGGCACTGCCACTACTACTGCAGTGTTCCAATGTCCCAAGATCGTACCACTGCCCATACCACTGCAGTGTTATAAGAGCTCGCCATGAGGTCAACAGCTCGGAAATGGAGGAGCAAAGCGAAGAGCGGGTTACGGAAAGGGATATATACTTAACCATGATGGTAGCGATGGCACAGGTGTGATACAGCATGATTGCATCCACCGCTCTGCTGGACAGTCGCCTGTTCTACAGGAGATGCATGGGGGAGGGAACTGAGGGAGGGAACTGAGGGAGGGAACTGAGGGAAGGAACTGAGGGAAGGAACTGAGGGAAGGAACTGAGGGAAGGAACTGAGGGAAGGAACTGAGGGAAGGAACTGAGGGAAGCAACTGAGGGAGGGAACCGAGGGAGGGAACCGAGGGAAGGAACTGAGGGAAGGAACTGAGGGAGGGAACTGAGGGAAGGAACTGAGGGAAGGAACTGAGGGAAGGAACCGAGGGAAGGAACTGAGGGAGGGAACTGAGGGAGGGAACTGAGGGAGGGAACTGAGGGAGGGAACTGAGGGAAGGAACTGAGGGAAGGAACTGAGGGAGGGAACTGAGGGAGGGAACTGAGGGAGGGAACTGAGGGGGAAGGAACTGAGGGAGGGAACTGTGGGAAGGAACTGAGGGAAGGAACTGAGGGAGGGAACTGAGGGAGGGAACTGAGGGAGGGAACTGAGGGAGGGAACTGAGGGAAGGAACTGAGGGAGGGAACTGAGGGAGGGAACTAAGGGAAGGAATTGAGGGAAGGAACTGAGGGAGGGAACTGAGGGAAGGAACTGAGGGAGGGAACTGACGGAGGGAACTGAGGGAAGGAACTGAGGCTGATGCTGATGCTGATTCTGATGCTGATGCGCTGATGCTGATGCTGATGCTGATGCGCTGATGCTGATGCGCTGATGCTGATGCTGATGCTGATGCTGATGCTGATGCTGATGCTGATGCTGATGCGCTGATGCTGATGCGCTGATGCTGATGCTGATGCTGATGCTGATGCTGATGCTGATTCTGATGCTGATGCTGATGCTGATTCGGATGCTGATTCGGATGCTGATGCTGATGCTGATGCTGATGCTGATGCTGATGCGCTGATGCTGATGCTGATGCTGATGCTGATGCTGATTCGGATGCTGATGCTCATGCTGATGCGCTGACGCTGATGCTGATGCTGATGCTGATGCTGATGCTGATGCGGATGCTGATGCTGATGCTGATGCGCTGATGCTGATGCTGATGCTGATGCGCTGATGCTGTTGCTGATTCTGATGCTGATGCTGATGCGCTGATGCTGATGCTGATGCTGATGCTGATGCGGATGCTGATGCTGATGCTGATGCGCTGATGCTGATGCTGATGCTGATGCTGATGCTGATGCGCTGATGCTGTTGCTGATTCTGATGCTGATGCTGATGCGCTGATGCTGATGCTGATGCTGATGCTGATGCTGATGCTGATGCGCTGATGCTGATTCTGATGCTGATGCTGATGCTGATTCGGATGCTGATGCTGATGCTAACGCTGATGCTGATGCTGATTCGGATGCTGATGCTGATTCTGATGCTGATGCTGATGCTGATGCTGATGCTGATGCTGATGCTGATGCGCTGATGCTGATGCTGATGCTGATGCTGATGCTGATGCTGATGCGCTGATGCTGATGCGCTGATGGTTATGCTGATGCGCTGATGCGCTGATGCTGATGCTGATGCTGATGCGCTGATGCTGATGCTGAAGCGCTGATGCTGATGCTGATGCTGATGCTGATGCTGATGCTGATTCGGATGCTGATGCTGATGCTGATGCTGATGTGCTGATGCTGATGCTGATGCTGATGCTAATGCTGATTCGGATGCTGATGCTGATGCTGATGCTGATGCTGATTCGATACTGATGCTGATGCTGATGCTGATTCTGATTCTGATGCTGATGCTGATGCTGATGCTGATGCGCTGATGCGCTGATTCTGATGCTGATGCTGATGCGCTGATGCTGATGCTGATGCTGATGCTGATGCTGATGCTGATGCGCTGATGCTGATGCTGATGCTGATGCTGATGCGCTGATGCGCTGATGCTGATGCTGATGCTGATGCTGATGCTGATGCTGATGCGCTGATGCTGATGCTGATGCTGATGCGCTGATGCTGATGCTGATACGCTGATGCTGATGCTGATGCTGATTCTGATGCTGATGCTGATGCGTTGATGCTGATGCGCTGATGCTGATGCTGATGCGCTGATGCTGATGCGCTGATGCTGATGCGCGGATGGTGATGCTGATGCTGATGCGCTGATGCGCTGATGCTGATGCTGATGCTGATGCTGATGCGCTGATGCTGATGCGCTGATGCTGATGCGCTGATGCTGATGCTGATGCTGATGCTGATGCGCTGATGCTGATGCGCTGATGGTGATGCGCTGATGGTGATGCGCTGATGGTGCTGCTGATGCGCTGATGCTGATGCTGATGCTGATGCTGATGTTGATGCGCTGATGCTGATGCTGATGCTGACGCGCTGATGCTGATGCGCTGATGCTGATGCGCTGATGCTGATGCTGATGCGCTGATGCTGATGCTGATGCTGATGCGCTGATGCTGATGCTGATGCTGATGTGCTGATGCTGATGCTGATGCGGATGCTGATGCTGATGCTGATGCAGATGCTGATGCTGATGCTGATTCGGATGCTGATGCGCTGATGCTGATGCTGATGCTGATGCTGATGCTGATGCTGATGCTGATGCTGATAGGCTGATGCTGATGCGCTGATGCTGATGCTGATGCAGATGCGCTGATGCTGATGCTGATGCTTATGCTGATGCTAATGGTGATGCGCTGATGCTGATGCTGATGCTGATGCTGATGCGCTGATGCTGATGCGCTGATGCTGATGCGCTGATGCTGATGCTGATGCTGATGCTGATGCTGATGCTGATGCGCTGATGCTGATGCTGATGCTGATGCGCTGATGCTGATGCTGATGCTGATTCTGATGCTGATGCTGATGCTAATGCTGATGATGATGCTGATGCTGATGCTGATGCTGATGCTGATACTGATGCTGATGCGCTGATGCTGATGAGCTGATACTGATGCTGATGCGCTGATGCTGATGCGCTGATGCTGATGCTGATGCGCTGATGCTGATGCGCTGATGCTGATGCGCGGATGCTGATGCTGATGCTGATGCTGATGCGCTGATGCGCTGATGCTGATGCTGATGCTGATGCGCTGATGCTGATGCGCTGATGCTGATGCGCTGATGCTGATGCTGATGCTGATGCTGATGCTGATGCTGATGCGCTGATGCTGATGCGCTGATGCTGCTGCTGATGCTGATGCTGATGCTGATGCGCTGATGCTGATGCGCTGATGCTGCTGCTGATGCTGATGCTGATGCTGATGCTGATGCGCTGATGCTGATGCGCTGATGCTGATGCGCTGATGGTGATGCTGATGCGCTGATGCTGATGCTGATGCTGATGCTGATGCTGATGCGCTGATGCTGATGCTGATGCTGACGCGCTGATGCTGATGCGCTGATGCTGATGCTGATGCGCTGATGCTGATGCTGATGCTGATGTTGATGCGCTGATGCTGATGCTGATGCTGATGCTGATGCGCTGATGCTGATGCTGATGCTGATGCTGATGCTGATGCTGATGCTGATGCGCTGATGCTGATGCTGATGCTGATGCTGATGTGCTGATGCTGATGCTGATGCGGATGCTGATGCTGATGCTGATGCTGATGCTGATTCGGATGCTGATGCGCTGATGCTGATGCTGATGCTGATGCTGATGCTGATGCGCTGATGCTGATGCGCTGATGCTGATGCTGATGCTGATTCTGATGCTGATGCTGATGCTGATGCTGATGCTGATGCTGATTCTGATGCTGATGCTGATTCGGATGCTGATGCTGATGCTGATTCGGATGCTGATGCTGATTCTGATGCGGATGCTGATGCTGATGCTGATGCTGATGCTGATGCGCTGATGCTGATGCTGATGCTGATGCTGATGCTGATGCGCTGATGCTGATGCGCTGATGCTTATGCTGATGGTCATGCTGATGGTGATGCGCTGATACGCTGATGCTGATGCTAATGCTGATGCTGATGCTGATGCTGATGCTGATGCGCTGATGCTGATGCGCTGATGCTGATGCGGATGCGCTGATGCTGATGCTGATGCTGATGCTGATGCGCTGATGCTGATGCTGATGCTGATGCGCTGATGCTGATGCGCTGATGGTGATGCGCTGATGGTGATGCGCTAATGGTGCTGCTGATGCGCTGATGCTG